CCCCCCCCCCCGCACCGAAATGGGCGGGACAGAAGGAGGTTCTTAAAGAGACAGAGGGCAATTTCAAGGCCTTTAGAAGACAAAGTGATGAGAAGATAAGTTTATTTTCTATTTAAACATAAAAACAGCATTTTAATAACAGCTAAAGGTGACATAGATACTTTATTATGGTATAGTATTTAAATGTATGCCTGAGAAACACATAATATTGGCCCTTTAAAGAACAAAATCAAAGGCTACACATTTATCGTTACTGTTGAAAATACCTCTATTTTAARTTTTTTATCATAAAAGAGTCAGATGGGAATATTTAGAAACAATAACTCATCGGGTAAAGACTTGAGGAAGAAGAGCAAAGGGGGCTGGATCTTCACGGTTTGAGTAGAGAGAGAGAGAGAGAGAGAGAGAGAGAGAGAGAGAGAGAGAGAGAGAGAGAGAGAGAGAGAGAGCACTGAAGTGATACAGACGGAGGGCACGCGCAATAGAAGACGGGAGAAAGCACGAGGCATGTTCCCAGGATTCAGGTAAGTTTGGATCCTCCACACAGCCTTGAACAGTTCGAGCAGAAGTGTCACGATTTATCCTGACAGACAACATTATTTTTCATCATTCTGATTGTAAATCGATGTTTTATTGAGTGAAACCTCGAGTCAAGGCAGTCTGGGTTTATCTGTACCCTTCTCCTCACTCGGAATTCTAAGAATCGGACCGGATCGGATTTGGGTTAAACCGTGAGGAGTCCCAAAGACGTCCTTGTGTTGGGGAAGGTGCGCTGTCCGCGGTGCTGAAATCCGCCTGGCTTTTCTCAATGGACAGAGAGTCACGCCTCACAGATCCTTTGCTTTAGTTTCAAAACACGTTTTATTTATTTATTTATTTATTTATTTATTTATTTATTTATTTATTTATTTATTTATTTATTTATTTAGACTGAGCTGTGAGTTAGACCCCTCTATGAGGGGGGTGAACTCCTAACTGGCCTCCATCACAGCAGCTTTCTGTGTCTCCCCTCTGCAGGTGTTCGTGGATCCCGCCCAGGTCTCGCGCCCACCGGTTATGGCTCGGATGAGTCTCGGATAAAATGCCCGCGGCGCCGTCGGCGCGCCTCCCGCTCTGTGGCGCAACATGGCACGCGTAAAGATGGGTCCGTTCGCACTCCTGTGTCTCCCCGCGTGCCTCCTCCGCGTGCTCGTGCTCTCGCACAGCGGCGTCCTCCACGAGCGCTCGGTGGTCCCGCGCGCCGCCTCCCGCTCCGTGGCCCGCATGGACGGCGACGTCATCATCGGCGCGCTCTTCTCCGTCCACCACCAGCCGTCCGCCGAGAAGGTGGCCGAGCGCAAGTGCGGGGACGTCCGCGAGCAGTACGGCATCCAGCGCGTGGAGGCCATGTTCCACACGCTGGACCGGATCAACGCCGACCCCGACCTGCTCCCCAACATCAGCCTCGGCTGCGAGATCCGGGACTCGTGCTGGCACTCCTCCGTCGCCCTGGAGCAGAGCATCGAGTTCATCCGGGACTCCCTCATCTCCATCCGGGACGACAAGGACGGGTCCAAGTGGTGCATCGACGGGACCCCGTCCAATCAGCCGCCGCCGTCCAAGAAACCCATCGCGGGGGTGATCGGCCCCGGGTCCAGCTCCGTGGCCATCCAGGTGCAAAACCTCCTGCAGCTCTTCAACATCCCGCAGATCGCCTACTCCGCCACGAGCATCGACCTGAGCGACAAGACCCTGTTCAAGTACTTCCTGAGGGTGGTCCCTTCGGACACCCTGCAGGCCCGGGCCATGCTGGACATTGTCAAGAGGTACAACTGGACCTACGTGTCTGCGGTCCACACTGAGGGTGAGTGAGCCCCTGGAACTGCAGAACCACCCACACATCAGTAAACGTGTTACTAAACCGAATATTCAGTTCATTAAGGCACCAATTAAATAAATAAATAAATAAATAAATAAATAAATAAATAAATAAATAAACAAACACCTCAAAGCACCTAGAATAAAAACTTTGTCCAAATAATAAAACCCCATTCAGATCCAGATTCAAATTCATCCTCGTTCCCTTTTTAAACATATGTGACCCATCACACTGAAATGAGGATTAAGTCAAATTTGGTCAAAATGACCTCATCACGTTTTCAGATTCTTGGCTTTAAAAGCTACATTTTAACACCTGGATCATCCTGTTATCATAATTAAATCCATATATATGACTTAATTTGTCTTGTTGGTCACAAAAACACATAAATATTTGATCTGAATCCTCATTTTGTGTCATTTTAATGAGTATTTTTTGATGTTCTTATAAAGAGGAAACCTCAAATTTGATTGGAATATTGAAATTTCCCAGCTAAAGATAAAAATATATTACTAGCTCACAGGGAAAATCTCAAAGTTTTAAGGCTTTTTTCCTCAAAATCATTTTTTTAATTGCTACTGCTCAAAAAAGTGCTTCAAAAATGTTGTTTTGTGATTATATTTCAGGCAGTTCATTCAAATGACACATTGATAAGGCTTTTATTCATTATATTTTCACAAAATGCAATTTTTTGTTAACATTTTAGTCAAAAACACCATATTTGCCCATTTCTCCTTAGACCACTTTTGGACTTAATCCTCGTATCGATGTGTTGGGTCACATATTACATCTAGTGTTTCCCATTTAATGTAGCAGATACTTTGTTTCAGTCTACTATCATGAGCACGCACACGGTGACAGTGGAAATGGACAACTCCCTTTTAACAGGAAGCAAATGTCCATCAGAACCGGGTTCAGAACCAGATCTGCCTCGGCCGACTGTGTTTGAGAGGACAGGAAAGAGACACAAGGATCAGTCCAGGTAGCAAAAAGGTGACAAAAAAAGAAGAAAATAAATTAATGTTTTGTAGATTATTTCTTTGTGCTCCTCGACAATAAACTTATACTGTTAGAAAGCCTGTTAATTCCACTTTAAAATGGTGCCACATTTGTAAGGAACATGCATTTTTTGGGGGATGAGCTGTAGAGCTGAGTGTGTTTGACCCAGGTGGCCACTATAAGTGTTATTGCCATAAAAAGCGTTGTTAAAACAAAGAAATAATCTAGCAAACACACATTTCCATACTTTTTTTGTGTGCTAAATGTACACGTATAAACWTGGGAAGTAAAAACAGCAGCAGAGTGAGGAAATGGGGTCAGTATGTCGTCCGGCAGCAAAACCGACGGGGGTATATCTCACTAAGCTGTTGGAAAACTGGTTGTAAAAAATAATAATAATAATAAAAACAGTCCTCAAAACTGCAGGGTAAGTGCAAGTAAATACATCAATTCTCAGCTGCAGTCTCATTGAAATGGCTGCACTTTGAACAAATTTTGCACAAAAAAACTGAAAGTCGGTTCCACAAACGAAGAGCCTGAAAGCTCCACCTACATGTTTATATTGACAAAAGTTAGTCGTTATAAATTAACTACAGTTCTGTTTACAGAGGGGTCGTCGAGTTTGACACCGAGATTCACATAAAGACAAAACGTAGACAGAAATACTCACAAAGCGCGTAAAAAATACATTTTCGTGTACTTTTTCTTTGTCTTGAGAGAAGCTCTCGATGCCGTTCTCTTGATTTTGTGTGTTACTGTGTCACAGCTTGTCGCTCACATCTGTGCGTCGTCGTGCGTTTAAAAGAACACAATAAGTACAGCCATTGTTTTCTCACAACTTCATGCCTAATGTGTTCTGCTTTCTGGGAGGAAAGTGTGAACTTCTTGGCTGTGGTCATCGCAGCAGGTTTCAGAACGCTGGTGGAACTCACAAGAAAACGTAGGCACTCTTTTGGAAAGGGTGTTTTTATTTGCACAAAAAAAGGGGGGGCAAGGCAGCTTTCTATCAAATTTAATCAGAAATTAATTCGTTAAAATCCACATTTCTTTTTATTCAGCATTTTATGCCGTGATTGGGCAACTTTTCTTTCTGGGAACTTTTCCTTCAGGTTGCAGACAGGAGATGAAGAGAGACGGGTAATTACTGTGAAACGAATCGTGTCTGTGGCTTTCCATTAAAGTCTTGGTGAAACAGCGTCCGTGATGCGCACCTCAATCATGACTGACGGGCTACATTATCGGGGTCTTCCCCCACAGGAGCCGCAGATGCATTGAGAGAGGAAAGCATCCTTGGGAAGCCTTATTATAGTCAGATATGTGTGAYGAGCACCGTTTGTTTATCATTTAGCCGATGAGTGAGCTGTTTAGAGACGTAATGGCCTTACTCTCTTCTGAGACAATCATAATAACTGACTGTCTGTTTTTTTTTGCAAGCAATGTGATCAACTCACTTGTATTCACTCCAGCAGATAATACCTAAAGGATTAGTTCACATCTTTTCAACGAGGTTCTGTAGAAAGGTTACGAACATTAAATGTCTTRCCTGTTGAAGATAACTCTTGGTGCAACCTCGAACTTCAGTGCAGTTCATATAAACCTTTAAACCAGTATTAATTTTTCATTTATTTTAACCAAAATACAATATTCTGCTGAGAGTGATCCATGTGATGTAAATGGTTTGAATTTACTTTAAAAGGGATCCCCGATTAGTTGTAACATTAGATCCAAAATGTCCTGATGCATCTCAGTAATCCAGGTAAAAAATCAAAAGGAAAAAAAAACACAGACAGGACTCCATGCAACCTTCAGGTGAAAATGAAGACCCCAAACCCAGACCCAAACCAGTGGTT